TAATGTTCATCAAGTCGTAAAATATCGTCTATAGGGCTGGGTTTTGTAATAACCTGAAATCAATATTATTTATGTTTCTGTCTAAACTAAAATATACCATGTTATCACAGTAGAGGCACTATATTTTGTTCCCTTAATGTCGTAAATAACTCGACGTTATGATGTTTACGCAAAACGCGGGCCTGATTCAATCGATGATATCGATGGCAAATTTCATGATAGGATGGATTGTGTCACCAAATCCTTTTTTATATTACACCGCCTACTTTTATTACTTTTAGTCTATGAAATAAGTGTCTCGTATGTCTTTCATCAAACGTAATTGCAGTTTACTGAGAAAACTGGAGAAAGTATAAGTTCAAAATTACATAAAAATTGGAAGAAAATGTGAGTCAATATTTTTTTATATTTTTCTCTATTAATATATCTTTACGAAAATTAAAATATTTTTTAAGAAAATAAATGAGTCATGTCCCCTGGCCATACTTCCTCAATGTGGCCATAGGCACACCCTTAACTATTTCCTAGTTTTTTTGTCCTGGTCATAAGCAGAGGCAGCCGTCATGTCTGGTAAAAAACACACACAGAAAGTGTGAATCGCTAACACGAATATTAATATTTAAAAAAAACGTTTTGCTAGTACTAAAACCACCCTCTTCATTTTTTTATTCTATCTTTAAGTATTTCTTAATATAACTGCAACGGAAATATAAAATCAGTGAAATATTTTAAATATCTAATCATATTATGTAGTTTACGAGCTACAACGTCTGCGACAAAACCTTTTGGACATTGATCACGAAAACAAAATAATAAAAAAATATTCATATTTATCGGCTTCTCTTAAATATATTTTATGTTTACTGTAAATTATTAAAGTGGTTATGATGATAAAAGGTTACTTTTATACTGTAAATATTTAACTAGTAATTTACACAAAAATAATAATTGCATCTTAAGAAAATACAGTAAAATCTAAACAATAACCAGATTTTTTTATTAATATTTCATATTACAGTTATAAAAAATAAGATCTAAAGAGAGCTTAGTTCAGGCATTGTGAAAAGAGTTAAGTAATATTGAAAAGAGGCTAAAAGCTTTCATTCCAACATAACACACAACTCGTATATTTCTTTTCCTAAATAAAACGAAAACCTGAATTAGATACAAAGTACACAAAAAGCTTTTATAGCGGTATTCCTTATAAAACTGGCTACAATAATTCTGCTTATAGAATATAAGTTTTTAATTGGTTTATTTTGAATTCGGTCAAGAAATATAACATTTTAAATGTACTAGTTTCAGTAATCCCTAGAAATAAAAATATAGTTTCTATATTTTTTACGGTTAAGAACTCACAGATTACATATAAAATTACGAATACAAATAATAAAACGTAGTTATTCTTTGATAGCTATTTTAATGGTATTATATTTTTATTTTTATTTTAAAAATATGAAAAATGAATGTGGTTTTTCAATAAGTAACTATTAAGTACAATAAGTAACTATTTATTGTACTCTGTTAAGACCAATCGTTCAACATTATTTAAAAACTGAAGCATTCAATCATATAAATAATATGTATTCTTATTGTTCTGGTGACTTTAAATAAATACGTTAATAATGAATTATTAAAAAACTAGATTATCATAAATAACGTTGTAGTTGTTGTGAATTTTTTAAATATATGATTACGTGAGTTTCGTTTGGTGGCAGCGGAGGGTTCAAGAAAAATCTGTTTTACTTACAAAACTATATTCTGGTTAAAATTAAGTCAGTGGTGGCCTAGTGGTTAAAAGGACCGTCTCTCATGCACGAGGGGGCGGGTTCGATTCTTGGCCCTGACAAGTACCAATGTGATTTTTCCAAGTCCAATGTACTTTCTACGAGTATTTAGACATCACTGATTAATGCTGATTCTCAAAGAGGGTTGATGTTAGGCAGGCGGTCGATCGTAAAAACAATAAGCCAAAACTATTCATAACATGTAAGGCAGACGCTGCCTATAGCTGGAAAATAGCCAGGTAGAAGAAGATTCTTGTTACAATTAGGACTTATACTTTCTTAAGAGATTTCTGTAAGTCAGCGATTGACTCCAAACTGAATATATGTCTATTAAAAACCATTCCCGCTGATGGTGCAAGGCGTGCTGTGTCGTCCTCACTTTCCCATTCCCACTGATGGCTCAGCGTCAGCCTTTGGTACTTAGCACCATGGAGCACTGCAAGGTTATACCTTGACTATTCTTAGTATGTATATACATGTGTATGCTATATAAACTATATTTAAGAGTTGGTATTAGGGAACAATTATTTTGTTAAATCTGCCAGTATATGAGTATGAAGTGCCTTACTAATCTTTCCATAAAGTAAAAATGTAACGGATTGCTGCCTGTAGGTACGTCGAAAATAAATAAGAAATAATTGCGATCTTTAAAAATAAAATTGAGATCTTTGTGAACACTTATAAAACCCAAAACAGATGTAGTTACAATTTTGGTTTTTGTCTGTCCGTTTGTGATCGCTAATCTCAGGAACAACTTATTCAATGAAAATGTTGGTTTCACGTCAGTCATTTTTCATGTGATTCGGATTCATACAATAATGAAAAGAATCACATTGAGCATTTAATTAATTAAGTGATCGATCTACCTATATATCTATTATTTCTCATCGGAATTTAGCAAACGAATTTCTCTATATAATAAATACGATACGAATTTGGTATATAATTAATCCATTTGTTAATAATTATATATTTTTTGTTTAATTTAATAACCAATATAATTTAACCTGTGATCTGTACAATCATGTTATCACATAAAATAAAGTTTATTTTTGGCAAAACATTTGTAAGTTGTACAACAAAGCGTTTTCGAAAATTGTTCAACTATTAATACATATGTTTAAGTTCCATTTATATTTCTTTTTAGGTTGATAAAAAGAAACACCTATTTTTTATTTATTATTTGTGCATATTTGTTAGCTAAGGTCAGTAATTAGATGAACGAAGTCGTAGATACAGTGAGTAAGTAATAAAAACCTCCATGTTTGTATTCAAAGTATTAATTCCTAAAATATCCAATGAGTTTGCTTGTTTTTAAAATATCTATTTTAGATATCTGGAGTTGCAACGTGAAGGAACATTGACAGCTAAGTCTATAATTGACAGTATATTAATCTTAAACATATTATTTATTATCATTGTATGTACTTAAAGGTTTACTAATATCCAGTGCCATAAATCACAATCTAAATAAATTATATAATTTACAAAGTATCATATAGTTTGCGGTTGTAACTGTACCAATAACAAATATTGCGGAATAGTAAATCAAAACAATTTGAACTACGCTTTGAATGTCCATACCAATGTAACGTCATTATGACCTGTGCATATTAGCATCAAATTAAATCTCATTTTGATGCAACCAACGCCCCAAATCTCTATGCCCCAAATCTATCTCTGCTCATAAATCGCACTAATTGAAACATTCCATTTGGTTTCATATGTAGTTCCCGATGTAGTGATGTCGACGCTTTTAATATAATCAATCACGTTTTAATAAAGAATGATTCTTTAAATTAAAAAAATATGGGAAAAGGTAAAAATTCCTTTTTATTAATAATAAAAAACAAGACATTTTATTTTTTATTAATTAGCTTTGAAAATATATTTTTAATCTATGATAACTTACAAGTGATGGATTGTCTTTTAAAGCAACACTAAACTTCAAAATGTCGATATGGGACGATATTCCTAACATTGATGTTTTATTGTGCATTCCGTTACGAGAAGGATCCATTATTATTGCTTTACTTGGGATTATATATGGCTTAGTTGGATTCTTATTATTTTTATCAGTTATAATAAATTTTTCAGACTGGAAGACTTTATATGAGAAAAGATTAGACGAGCTTGTATATTTTACATTGATTTTTCTTATGATATCGTTGCTACTATTCCCAAGCATCATTCTGTTCATTGGTATCTTAAGAAAACTTGATATTGCAATACTTATTTATCTATGGAGTGTTATTGTACATTTGGTTATGGATTGGATAATCACTCTGTCTCTCTGCGTGTATTGCTTGGTCACACCTAGCAGTTTTAGAAACAGCCCTGGAGGAATGATTGCTGTATCGATTATATTAACAGCACTCTACACAATATTTTGGGGATACTTAGCAGTCACTGTCAACAGCTACAGATCATTCATGAATTGATTTTACCAACTATTTTGATACGTTTAAGTTTATATACATTAAGTAAACTGTATTCATAATTAAAATAATGTCAATAAAAGGAATCGTTTTATTATATTTTATTTATTTGTAGTTTTTGCTAACACTTAAATGAAACGCATTTTGTGTCATATAATATATTATAGTACCATAGTAATTAAAGTTTCACTTAACAATGGCCAAGGGATTTAATGAGACTCTTGTATGCATATATAATTAATATATCATGGCAAACGACAGCTGAAAAAAATAATGCACTATTTTAAAATTTTTCGCTTAAATACGTATCGATACGTGATCTTTCTTATTAGAATAATACGCCAGCTGGAAACTACTACTTTTAGGATTAAACATACAAATATTTCAAAGGACGCAATGATTGGTTCAGTATTTACATTTCGGTAGACAGAAAAAGAAAAGTCTACGATTTAGCGATATTCTATATAATTATAAAATAACTTTTTTAATAAACAATAATGTTGGGAACAACTCATTCCATTTTTATTTCTTTTACTGCAACTTATCTAGTTGTGTATAAAATACATTATATCTGAAAATATGTTTGTCTAACTGCGATAAAAATAGACTTGTTCAATACGAAAATTATTAAATCATTGTAAATTACGACCAAATCACTACCCAAACTAAATGTTTTGACCTAGCCGTCAGCTTTGGTAATGATTAATGACTGATACAAAAATTCCGTGTGTCGATGTGGTTTTAGTTTACTGATATAAAGCAAACTCTAAATGATTCAATACGATAAAGTTCTTTCAGAATACTTACTGTACAGTGATACCGCTAAAATTCCAAATATAACAGCAAGAAAGAAATGCACAGTCAAATATCCTGTCCGTATAAAGAATATACCTCCGAGTGCTCCTAATGCTGTATTATACGCTGCTATTATAAGGCACAACCAAAGACCGACTTCTAGAGCACACAATTTCTCCTAGAAAATAATATATTTCATGAATTATCTTTTATTTAATGACTATTTTTAATTTACAACAAAAAGAAAAAATACTTCTAATGCTCCAAAAAAAAGCAGCACCCCATTCAAAATTATGAAAGGTACGAGAGCCAAAACCATGATTTGAATAACTCGAGACATATGTCCTTTACTATTAGCATGTACTAGAAAGTACAAAATTATGTAGCATATAATGGATATCTAGAAAAACAAAAACAGATTGTACAATTAAAAAATATATTTTTTATAAATAAAAATTGCTAGTTTTACGACAAACATGTTCATTTTTTATTTAGGGGCATTTAAACAAAACAAGTTTTTCTATGATAATAATCAAACATTTCATTATACAAGGATTATTTTTAAAATAATATAAATTATAATTTATATTATTTTCAAGCAATTTTGGCTACTAAAAATTAATGCAGCCCTTTCAAGAGTATTTCAAAACTGATAAGGATATCATTTTCACTCTTATTGACACCAAAGTTCGTGAGGAGTACAGGAATAACAAAGTAATTTTGGCTTTAAAAGTAAACCATAATAAACATTTAATATATTTTTATCATAAACATAACAAATCGTAATAATTCATGTACATACTAATTTAAGCCATCCTATACATATGACTGCATCACGTAAAGCCCTCCTTCTAAAACGTAATTCGTCTTGGTCTGTACATGGTCTCAAATCAGCATGTATTAGCATTTTTTTTTTAAACTAAACCAAACGTTTTATTTATTTTAACTGTAATTTTTCAAAAATACTAATTTGAAAACTTTTGATTTTAGGTTATTATTTTGACGTACAAAAGTCAGCATTTTTTTAATACTGCCTTGGAATCTAATTTATCTTTATATGTTTTAATATTTTTTTATAAATGTTTTACGTCAAATTTTTGTGTTACACAATGTGTATATCATTTTTAACATGAATTGAATGAGTACTCAAAAATTATAAATTAAATCAGCGTATAAGTTTTATAAAACATAAATAACCGCAATTACTAGACACTGACAAATCCATCAGTATACAATTCACGTCACATATTTTAACTAAATTTTTAAAATATAACGAGGGTCCAAAAACTTTATCTTGAAAAATATTTATATAATGTAGACAATACAGTTTTTAGATTGTCTTTTTAGGTAGTATTTGATTGTGATTCTTAATATAGAATCATCTGATATCCATATATTATCGTGTGATAGCCTTGTTTATCGAATAACATCAGGGGAATGTCTTCCACGGCTGTACTGGCCCTTTGCAGTCTTTTATGGAAATAGGCTATTACCATTTTGCATAAATGGGTCTGATTTTCGTCTACGGAGTTCCTATTTTCCTCAACTGTAATTTACGGATGATTGTACGTTTGAAATAACCTTTATCTTCAAATAAGTTATAACTAAAACTAAATAGTGAAGAATTCAGGTATCCATTTCCAGAGATTATTCGAATATAAAACATGTTATGTATTTGTATTTGACATTCATCTTTTTGTATTTTACAATTTTTCCGCGATATTGATTTGGTGTCCCTGGATTTTCACCACCATTCTCACGCACTTTTTCGTTTCAAACAGTTGAATTGGTTATTTTAGGAAGATCAGCAAATGATTATACAATAAATCTCTTAACAATTGACAAAATCGAAACACTAATCCGACAACATTTTGTATTAGCTGTTGCAGGGTGACATCGAAACTACCTGAGGACATTGCCGCTTCTATCAAAAAGTAATTTTGATTATCACCTTTATTGAAGGAGTTATACTATAATAAACTACTTTCTTCTTTTTAAAGCCCAAAAAAACGTAGCCTTAGTTTTTCCCTAAGACATTATCTGAATGTGAGTGATATTTACGGGAAAATTGCTCCAACCCAATAGACAAAAGAGATGGAAACCAAGACAAACATTTTAAAAGTTAAAGTATTATGTATTTACCATATTTATGTTATTTTATATGGGTTTGGTGAAGAGCTAATCATTTGAAATTACAAATAAATGCTTCAGTTTTATTAATTAGAATAGAGAAGATATTAAGATGATTAGTCAGTGGTGGCTCAGTGGTTAAAGGGCCCGCCTCTCGTCGCCGAGGGCGCGGGTTCGATCCTGGCCCAGGCAAGTACCAATGTGATTTTTCCTAATCATATGTACTTTCTAAGATTATTTAGAAATCACTGATTAATGTTGATTCCCTAAAGAGGGTTGATGTCAGGCAGGCGGCCGATCGTAAAAACAAATAGCCAAAAACTATTCACAACATGTAAGGCAGACCCTGGCTATAGCTGGGAAATTGCCAGGTAGAAGAAGAAGAAGAGAAGATATTCTATGTAAATAATCTGGGCCGAGTAAGTTTCGTCCGATCGTAGATATTCTTCACAACCGAACATAAATTTTGATGTCCAGATCTATTGTGTATCTTTCTTTCTTTACTTATCCTCAGGTCTGCTATCAAATTGATGTTTTTTCTTTCGATTTTTCACATTTTACTACAGAAATGAAGTAATTTCATATCTTGTGTTAATTTTGGAGACATCTGCATGAATAAAACAATGTAATATTATATTATTTTCCTATTTTTTCACAAAGTTAAAAAAATAAATATACCAGAAAACATTACATATTTAGTAAATCTGTTATAAATAACAGATTTCCCGTTATGAAGGATCTATACTGACATGTTATTGAAATTAAATATCGTTTAGGTAGATAGGTATTTCATAAAAATTATTAAAATTTATAAATAACGTAATAGTAATATAATACGAACTCCGATTTAAAGTTGAGTAACTCTACAGATTCGTAATAATAGTATACAAAACTAATAACTTGAATTCCAAAACATATTAGGTACCATTAATGGAAATTATAAAAGGTGCTGTAGTCTTTAATATATCACCAGTTTGGTCAGAATGTTCATAAAAAGAATAAAAATTCAATATAGTATCCTTTTGTTTCGTTCTTTTACAGAAAATGTAAAATTATTACTGAATGGCTTTTTTTTTCTTTAAAAATAGACCACGCTCTATATTGAAGTGTATTGTGAAAGCGTTGACAACAATATATGTTATTTCTATAGTCATTGTTTTTATAAAACTATACTTCGATAGTATTAAAAATATATGAAGTGAGACAAGGGAAGCTAATGTGGTCTTTTTTTTAATGTATATTATAACTTATTCTATAAAATTTATTCCTTTTGGACTCCCTTTAAGTAACGTTAATCTTACAAACATTGTTTTTGATCTGTAGTTCTTTAAAGTAAAAAGGCCGTTTCTTGATACAATTCTTGTAGAAGAAATGATTTTTAAAACATAACATTATATGTATCTATAAACTGGTTACTGTAACAAAAGACCAGCAATATAATCAACTTCGTGTTATTGGTCATAGCTAAAGCATTATCTAAGGTCATTTTCAACAGTGAAAATATAGATTATAGTATGACACATCATTTATATCTTTACATCATAATTAGATTACATAAAATCTGTATTGCCAAGAAAAATATAAAATAAGAGTCTTTGTTACAAATTTAAATACTTTTCTCCGAAATACCAAACCGTAGTTGTAGACTAGTTTGCTTAATATAGAGTATTAATACTTGTCAGTATAAGCTTAAACGAGATTTTCAATCCGTGTAAGTTTCGGAGACACGTGATTTAGCATGTCTCTTGACTTTCACGTAACCTAAGGTAATGTTGTTCGGCTTCACTGAGAATTAAATCGAAGTTCATGAACGTATCCAATTCAAAACTTTGGGAGGCATTGCAAATGTTAGTTAATGTAAGTCCAATCTATAAACAATTATCAATTTGAATATTTATATTTATGAACTTTGATTTCAATAATAAAGCTGTGTAACATAACAATTAAAAAAAGTCGGGTAAAAAGCTATTTTCAAGGTTAAATTGTCACACTGGCCCGTAATACCTTCAGATATTTTAAATAGGGCAGAATTTTGCTTTATTTTCCAAATGGGATGAAGAATTGTTCCATTAAGGAGACAGAACTAAAGAAAAAAAAATCCATGAGAGGATCACTGTATTAATTAAAGTGCAATAGGTATTACAAATATTTTATTTGCAGTAAGAAAATTTCATAAATTTAAGAAGAAATTAAATTTGAACTCTAATCTCAACTTTTTCAAATGTCAATTGATAAAAAACATCGAGACAACTACTATTACTATGTATTTTTATCTAGGGGTAATAAGAGATAGATAGCAGAAAACCAGACTTTTTGTATCACTTTCGTTTAAAATTGTCTTTAATTTGTTTAGTTCGGTATTCTGCCAATGTAGCTGATATGATAATGTATTTAATACTGATTTTTATTGTTTAATATTTATATTGTTTAAAACAATCATCATATTATCTCAGGATTCGGCTTATTTTTAAGAAAACAGTTAAAAGTATGTAAGGATATCGTACATATGCATACTTGTTTAAACTATCTGCATAAAATAACCTTCCATAAATTTGTATCAGAACAAAACGCTATTTTATATATTCCTTTTCGGTTTTTAGTAGTTTCAGGTGATTCGTCGCATCAGTTATTTGCGTAGTGGCCACCCAAACACATTTATCTGATGGACGCCTCCTGCTCCAACAACGCGACGTGACAATACAGACTGACGTTGGACGGAAAATACTTGTCTCACTGATCAAGTAAAATAATTACAATTTTACCCAGAATCAGATATTTTCTTATAGTGGACAATCTGTGTAATATGTTTGTACTTGTGCGATGGCCTCTTTACCAAATCATTACTTAAGAAACCTCATTTTTGTCAAGAGTAAATAACGAAACTGTGTCGTACCTTTCACTAGCACACATGAAGACAGCCCTTAATAATTACTATTACTCTCATATATTTTAAGATAACGTTATAAAAATTTTATTTTTTCATATCACTTAACACAAAAAATATATAAAAAATCACTTTAAGACGATGAGGCTATTATATACAATAGAAGCAAAAATTATATTCTGTCTTGATAACTTAATATATTCCAATAATAAGTTAATTTATTTTCAACTTCTAGGGTACTTTCATAATATTAAAGTTTTGTTTTGAAACTAAGTTAATAAAATTTAAGCAACGTAATAGCGAATGAAATATATCTGACAAGTATGGAAATGTGGAAGTGAAAATTTACTGTCAGTGATATAATTTATTTATTGCCGACAGTTCGTGACTAAACCAATTCGATATGGATTTTTTAAAGTTGCATATTTTTAGCCCTTGTACAGAAATCTATGATAATTTCTCCTTTTATCGTCTCTCCATTTGTTTATATATTTTATTACTAGCTTTCCGCCCGCAGCTTCGCCGCGTGGAGTTCGGTTATATCGCGTTTCCAAGAGAACCTTTCAAAAGTCTGGGATAAAAACTATCCTATGTTCTTTCTCAAGGTCAACTCTATCTCTGTACCGAATTTCATTAAAATCAGTTCAGTGGTTTAGGCGTGAAAGCGTAGCAGACAGACAGACAGACAGACAGACAGACAGACAGACAGAGTTACTTTCGCATTTATAATATTAGTAGGGATTATTTTAAATAAGACTTTAAATATACCAGAGTTGTATAGAATTGAAGCAAACTTTTTTTATTTATATTCCTTATGTTTAGATTACACTTACTTCATGATTCATAGCATTTCGAAGTAACTCTGTGTCGGTAATAGGTGTTATGGGTGAAAT